TTTATCTGTTTGTCTATTTCATACTAATGGATTCTATTTTGATTACTGTAGATTTATAAGTCTTGAAATAAGGTAGTGTCAGCCCTCCAACTTTGATCTTTTTTCAAAATTAGTTGTTTCGGCTATTCTAGATTTTTGCATTTCTATATAAATTTTAGAATGAACTTGTCAATTTTTTTAAAAGCTTATTGGGATTTTAATTTGGATCATGTTGAATCTATAGATCAATTTGGGGAGAACTGACATCTTAACAATATGAATCCTTGAGTCAGATATATCTTTCAATTATTTAAGTCATCTTTAATTCCTCTCAGCAATATTTACAGTTTTCAGTGTACAGATCTTTCATGCCTTTTCCTAGATTTATCCCTATTTCTTTTTAAAAAAATCTTTATTGTTGCGAGCATTACAAATGTCTCCCTTTTCCACCCATTGACCTTCTTCACCCCACATCCACCTCCTCCAGGCCTTTACCGCACTATTGTTTGTGTAGCGCCCCCTCCCCTAGATTTATCCCTATTTCATGAATAATCATCAAAGTCATTGCTCCTCAAACTTTTTCACAAAAGTGTAGTTAGTAGTAGAGAAGAATGAATAATTGCCTAGAAGATTGGTCCCAAGCTATAATTTTCTTTAGTTTCATGTTTTGTCTTAAATATAAATAAATGTTGCATGATATTCCATAATAATCCTATGTGTAGTATAAATATACTGCTTATAAATATCTTAAAAATCTCTGAGTAAAATTGATAACTGAGAAGATGCCTCATGTTTATTCAATCACTTTTAACACCCTGGCATACAACAAGTACTCCTTTCCCCAAGCTGAACTTTCACAGGCAAGGTCCTAGACTATTCATGGTTGTATAACATGCTCCTTTTCATTTTTCTCTTGTACAATTTAGCCTAAGTATGGCAGGGAGTAGATTAATTGATGCTTGCCCACTTTGAACTTGGGAGTGTCACAGGTACTGAAAATTCAATATCATCTCCAACAGACTGCATTGCTTCTGAAGGCCCCTTAACAACATATCACTTTCCTTTCTCCTTCGATTTTGATAAAGGGCCAAGAATAGATCTATTTGTATTATTTATAGTCTTTTTTATTATTTAAAATTATTTCCCCCAAACAAACATTTTAATGGCTAGGATAAAAAGTTAACCAACCCTTGGTATATTTCAGACCAAATATGGTATATGATTTACCATTCCGGGTGTCACTTTTGAGAGAAGCCCTATTGACCTGAAGAATAACCAGAAGAAGGGAGCCAAGATAGTAAAGGGTTTAAAATCATAAAGCCATCAAAGAAACAAAAAGGATTTTGGGGGAGTGGGGGTTCAGTTATCTTCTGGTTGAAAATAAGGGTTATCAATATAGGTGGAAATGAATTTGTTCTCAGTAACTACTGGGGGCACTCTGACAATGGTGGCAATTACAGAATCATGCTTTTGCTGTTAAGATTCTATGACTCCACATCCTCGCCAGCACTTGTCATTTGTTGATGATAGCCATTCTGACAGGTGTGAGATGGTACCTCATTGTCATTTTGATTTGCATCTCTCGGATGATTAGTGACTTTGAGCATGTTTTCATATGTCTCTTGGCCTTCCTTATGTCCTCTTTCGAAAAGTATCTATTTAGGTCTGTTGCCCATTTTTTGACTGGGTTGTTTATCTTCCTTTTGTTAAGTTGTATGAGTTCCCTATAAATGCTGGAGATTAAACCCTTATCGGAGATAACATCAGCAAATATGTTCTCCCATGCAGTGGGCTTTCTTGTGCACTGCTGGTGGGAATGCAGACTGGTGCAACCACTGTGGAGAACAGTATGGAGTTTCCTCAAAAAACTAAAAATGGAACTCCCATTTGACCCAGTGATCCCACTTCTAGGATATATTCCCAAGAAACTAGAAACACCAATCAGAAAAGATATATGCATCACTATGTTCATAGCAGCACAATTTACAATAGCTAAGATTTGGAAACAGCCTAAGTGCGCATCAGTAGATGAGTGGATTAAGAAACTGTGTTACATCTACACAATGGAATACTATGCTGCTGTAAAAAGGAAGGAACTCCTACCATTTGCAACAGAATGGATGGACCTGGAGAGCATTATGCTAAGTGAAATAAGATAAATATCACATGATCTCACTTATTTGTGGAATATAATGAACAACATAAACTGATGAACAAAAACAGATCCAGACACAGAGAAGCATCATTCAGATGCTCAAACCTCAGAGGGAAGGTAGAGGAGGGTGGGGGTAAGCGGGAATGATCAACCAAAGGACCTGTATGCATGCATATAAGCCTAACCAATGGACACAGACACCAGGGGGGTGAGAGCATGAGCGGGGTGGGGGGAGGGGTGGCAATGGGGGCATAAGGACACATATGTAATACCTTAATAAATAAAGAAAAAAAATTAACAACAATAAGAAATAATAAAATAGAATAATACTAACAACATACTGTAATAAAAGTTATGAAAAAAAAAAGATCCTATGACTCCAAACCTGAATAGGTTAAATTTTCTTTATTAAACTCTTATGAAAACTACATTATTTTCAAAACATTGTTTTTAATATTTAATCTAAGGCCAGTCACACTAATTTTTTAGAAAGTAGATAACTGCAACAAATGGGTTTATCCATTTCCAAGTATCCTTATTGGTAAAAAGAGGGGAAAGTTCAAACTTCTTCAATAAATATTAGCCATTATTAATTGTAAAGGAATTTTAGATCAGTAGCTGGTTGAGTCTTTCTCATATCTTACCACTCACACTGACTCTTACTCTTCTCTCTTCCACATTTAGAAGAACCTTATAATTATAATGGGCGTACTCAGATAATCTGGGATAATCTATTTTTAGGCCATCTGAGTGGAAACCTTAATTCTATTTGCAACCCTGCAATGTAACATAACATATTCATAGAATCTAGGGCATGAACGTCTTCGGGAGGACCATTATTCTGCATATATATATAACTGTTCATATACAGTTTTTCCTGTTTTTCTTCAGGATCTTACATCAGGCATCATCCTTTTCTGAAATTATGCAAACCTGTGTACATGAATCTAGAGAAAGGATTTATAACTGTCAACAAATTCTCAGTTTCAGCCGAAACCGGTTTGGCTCAGTGGATAGAGCATCAGCCTGCGGACTGAAAGGTCCCAGGTTCGATTCCGGTCAAGGGCATGTACCTGGGTTGCAGGCACATCCCCGGTGGGGATTGTGCAGGAGGCAGCTGATCAATGTTTCTCTCTCATCGATGTTTCTAATTCTCTATCTCTCTCCCTTCCTCTCTGTAAAAAATCAATAAAATATATTTAAAAAAAAAATTCTCAGTTTCAGAATCACTGGATTAGATCATAGAACACCAGTGTTCCTTGGAAACATAGTTTGGTGGTGTCAACAATTCCAAATTTTAGATTGGCCTTTTAACATGTATATTTTTAACTTACATTAATATGGGTTGATAGTTTTTGCTTAAGTATATTTTTGTCTGTGTTTTTAAAAATATATTATTTATTTATTTATTTATTTCAGAGAGGAAGGGAGAGGAAGAGAAAGAGATAGAAATATCAATGATGAGAATCACTGATAGGCTGCCTCCTGTACACCCCTTAATGGGGATTGAACCTGAAACCCAGGCATGTACCCTGACCAGGAATCGGACTCTGACCTCCTGGTTCATAGGTCCATGCTCAACCACTGAACCACACCAGCCAGGCATTTTCTGTGTGTTTTTAGATGTAGTTATAATCATGCTAATTATACTTCTTTATATCTTGCACTTTATAACATTTTCCATGTTGATATGCATCATTTTGTGATGATGCTAATAGCAAATACAGTAGATATTCCATAACTTAATTAATAATCTTCCTATTATTAGACATTTCATTCTCCTATTCCCTTTTTTTTATTATATTTAATGCTTGAATGAGGCTCTTGTATAGAGTTTCCCCCATATTTTGGATTTATTTCACCTAGACTAGATTCCTGAAATTAGAGTTTTTGAAAGGAAAAATATGAATATTTTTATAACCCTTTTTTATATATCACTAAATTACTTTCCAAAAGGTCTGTTTTAATTTACATTGCCACTAGCCTTTCTTTACTTTACTGATACCACCAATGTGAGGAGGGTTTTGTTTTTTTTCATGTTTCTTGGATTTTCTAATCTGTTCTCCAGTATGCTTGTTAAAGTAAATTTCTAAAATATAAATCTGATCATATTACTCATTGGTTTAAGAATTTCCAAGTGCATCAATATAAAGGTGACATGCAAGGCCCTTCATGGTTTAACCTCTATCCACTTATCAGACTGAACTTTCTCACCTCCTTCAAAGACACCTAGGCAACAAATCACATTAACTACCTGAATTTTCGTGAACCTCCCTGTTTTTTTATACTATAGTGATTCTGCTTCAAATGCTTCTATAGCCTATTTCTACACTCTTTTACACTGGGGTAACTCCAATCCTTTAAGGCTCCACTAAGGTATCCTTCAAGACAGCTCTATCAAGCTGTACTTCAAGACACAGTTCAATTGTAACCTCCTCCTGTAAAGGTTTTCTGAGCTACGTACTCCTAACTTGGATTATAAGCTCTTCCTCGATATTTATCAAATTACAATTTTAAAAAAATTTATGGTTCTTCCATTAGACTTTCGGCTCCTTGCTAACAGATACTACATTCTTTTCATCTTTATTTATCCAATTCTGATATGGTAAATGCTTGGTTAATTCTGTGTGCTAGTACATATCAAACCCATCAAAACATACCTACATTTTGAGAACTGCTATTCCCACATCTGGGAAATCTTCCAATAAACAAGCAAATAAATAAGAAAGTCAATTAGGAAAGCTATATGCATAAAAACGTTCAGTTCAGAATTTTTAACAAAAGCAAAATACTGGAAACAACTTAAATGCCAGAAATAAATGCATGGCAGAATTGGCTGAATGATACGAAATATGTAGCTCAGCCATTTGGAATAAAGGTTGTAAAAATGATATAGTAACTCAGATGCTTATGACATGTTAAGTTGAAAAAAGACAAAATAATTTTGCACTAAAACCCTATACAAATATATGTACAGACATTAACTAAAAGGGAAAATGAAAAATGTGAGCTGTTTGTGTGGACTATGGTTTCATTGCCTTTATTCAGAACTTCATGAAACTGCTATGACATTTCAATTATAATAAAAATAATTTAAAATTAAACCCATGCCACTAACATATACGGATATATTCGTGTATTCATATATATCCTAGCTCTGCCTCTGAAAGGTCCAAGAAGCAGAGATACCTTAGTATCAACGAGCATACCTAGCCTTGGTCTCTAATACAGTTCTCCACTAAGAGGACTCCTTAGAGAAAAAGTTAATTCCAGGGTGGGGCAGGGTAAGGATAAGATAAATATGGAACATCTTATTATACCACAAAGTTAGGAAGTGTTTTTAAAAAATGATGTAGGCATGTCACAAAGACACAGGAGCCAGACCAAAGGTCCTCCCTCTAGCTAAATCTGGGACAATTTGAACAGTGAAATAATTTACAAAATGTACACATATAAATATAGATAGAACATACATACTTAAATGGTAATTTTGATGAAGAGCTGTATATATCTTCAAATGTCTCCCCAGAAATTGCTTATTAATTGCCAGGAAGAAAAAAACAACAACACCTAACTATACAGTGGAAAACTCAAGCCACATATAGATCATGTAATCAAAATTAACATCATCAGTGAGGGACAGATGGATATCATGTGCTTCCAGAAGTGATACCCTGGAGAAGGACACATATCATCTGCATAGTAATCCAGTTGAACTGTATAACCTCAATCTGATCATGAGGAAACATCAGACAAAAACAAAATAAGAAATGTTCTATTAAAAATGGGGGTGGGGAGACAAGCTGCATTCTTCAAAGATGTCAAGGTAAAGATTTTTTTTTAAAGGTTATGAAAATGTTCCAAAATAAAGGATGTTAAAGAGTCAGGACAACTAAATGCAGTACCTAGCCCTAGACTGAATCTGTGCTGGAGGGGGAAATGCTATAAAAATCAACCTACAAAATTGGAATATCATGGTAGTTAAAATATTACTTCAATGTAAATTTATGAAGTTTATAAGAAATACACTCTCAAGCATTTAGGAGTGAAGGACCATGATGTATATAATGTAACCTCAAGTGTTTCAGAAAAAAAATTGTATATGAACATAATTGTGAAAAGAGAAGCACTGTGCATAAGAGGAAGCAATTTCCTCCCAACTTTTTTTAAATTTAAAATTATTTCCCAAATAAAAGGGTTTGTTGTTGTTTTTTAATTAAATCCCCCTCAGAGAAATAAGACCAACAAGAAAATAAAAGGTACCCATCTAAATAAGTTTTTTTAAAACATTCAATAGTGTATATAAGGTTTCAAGTTACCGTTCAAAATGCTTTCTTCTTTAACAGTCTTCATTCTTTCTTAAAATATGAGCATACCTGCAAATTTCACAATTTTATCTAAATAAGTTAATATGTTGAAGCCAACATACTATCAGTTGTAGCTTACTCATTAGACATAGCAGGAGGGAAAAACAAGCATTGAAAGTACAAGACTTCTGTTCTCCACCCTACATCCATATTTACAATTTGTTGACTAGTGACTGCATTCCAGTTTCCAAGTAAAACTTCGGATTTTAAATTATGACTTCAGTTCTACTGTTATTACAAGTAAAGAGTATGCAGAGACACAAACTGGATAGGTGAAAGGGGTGGGGGAGATGAAAAAAGCTGAAAACTGCCCTAATTGAGTACCTAAATAATCAAGTTCTTTCTTTTCATAAAGTAAATCATTTTGTGGAGTCTTAAAATTTGGAGAAGGTATTCTTAATAGTTTCTTACCTGTGAATTTTATAGTCTAAACGCCTTTTCTTTTCTTTTCTTTTCTTTTTTTTCCTTTGAAATTCAACTCGGGAATTTGCACCCCCTTGTGGTCAAAACGTTTCATTTTTTTCAATTGGGCTTTTTATTCAGGCATAGGAATTATGTTACTTGATTTCGTTTTCTCCCGTTTTAGTGAATCAAGAGCTTTAATTAAAGATTTTGGGTTTATTAAAAAAGATTTTAAACAAAATAGCTTAAATCTAAAAGTAACCTCCATATAAACTTTAGTCTGTGCAAAATGGAGATAATAATTGCACCCACCTCATGCGTTAGTATGAGGATTCAAGTGAAAACTGCATATATACTTAGCACAGTACCTGACAGAGTAGGCACTCAATGGTATTATCAATTTTATATTATCATTCTCTTGACAGACTATACTAAAAGGGAGCTAGATCAAAATTTACCAATTCATGAAGTTCAATATAGTCTTGAAAATAAGTTCCCCAAATATATCACTTATCTAGACTTCCCTAGCTGATTCTCCCCAAAGGTACATTATATTTTTAAAATACAAAGAATATGTAATTATTTCTGGATGACAGAAATTTGGATGGTTTTTACTCTATATATTTTAGTCTGGCCTGATTTTTTTTTTAACTTTAATATTTAGAAAGAGCAATAAAACCATTCCATTTCCAGGTTACTCTTATGAAATGGTAAAACAAATTACCTTTCTGACAGAAATCATTACTCATATTCGGCAAAAATCATAGGTCAGGCTAATTTGTCATTTTAAGGGACTCTTGAACACAAATGCTAATTCCTAATGGCACTAACTATAGTTTGACCTTTAAAACACCTCTTAAAGAAGCCATTTTGAAAGACCAATGTTAAAGACTACTAGCTAACATTTACTAATATGCCAAGCGCCGTTCAATGCCTTAAATATATTAGCTCATTTACATCGTTACAACAATTCAACGAGGCACTAGCATTACTGCTTTAACAGAAAATCCAAGTCAGAAAAAGTAACTCCTGTAGGGTCACATCTAGCAAGTAGCAGGGCTGGGATTCAAACCCAGGCAATTTGATTCCAGAGTCCACTTACCCAGTGCACAAAAGTGCCATGCACATATATAACATACTACTTAGCCACGTTACTTTTAGATTTTAAATTACTAAAATCCATTTCTTTTTCAATGTACCTTGATAATGCAAATATGCCAGCCTTCTTCCATTTTCTCACTTCTTAATACTTCCTGCACTTATATATTCATTGTTTTAACCTTCATATGTCTTCATATACTTAAACACAAGTTGTTTTGCAACAAAAACTGGAAGGAAAACAACAACACAGCAATACCCCAGATTTAAACTGTTGGATTCTTTAGAAACTTCATTATAATTTGGAATCAGGAAAAAGGTAATCAATCAAAAATAATCTTAAAATCTATTAATTTCAGATCAATCACAGTTTAAAATTTTTTTTTCATCTTAACTAGCCTGTGGACATAGGATAACTCTACCAAGCAAATGAACTACTGAAAGAAATTTTTAAGGAAAGTGTTAAAATACTGACAAGTTTATCATCATTTTACTTGCATCATAGCACCTTGTTTTTAAGGTGTACACAGATTTGCCTAGGTCTGTGCTTCCACTTACTAGTTGTAACACTTTGAGGCAAGTTTCTTGATCTGAGTCTTGGGTTTCATGTGTAAAATGAGGATATTACCTACTTCTTATGGCTGTTGTGAGATATAAACAGGATCTATCCATAAATAGTTTAGCACCGTGCCTACCACAGGCAATACGTGGCAACTAGGTATTATTTCTTTATCAGTGTGTCACACAATGGAAACCCATCTTTACTAGATTCAGTTCACTTAACAGGCCTTTTTTTTTAATTACTCTACGTGACACCCATAGACTGCTCATTCAACCTCTCTCATACTGAGAGAATGCGTAAGGACAAGTACAATGGTGAGGTAAACTGGATTCGATGAAAGCGTCTTTGCAACAGGACCGGGAGGACTAGGCAAGTAAACTACACACACACACACACACACACACACACACACACACACACACACACACACACGGGGAAACCACGCCTCCTGTGTGTGCTCCCATTGGATTGCACAGCAAGGAGAATGCCTCGGACTCCAGAATCTGACAGATGCGGACTCATCCGCATGCTTGCTACCTGGCAAATTACTTAAAGTCTCTCAGCCCTGGTTTCCCGGTCTGCAAACAAAATAATAGTACCTACCTCATAAAGTTGTTCTGAAGCTTATGTGCAATAACTCCTGCAACGCGTTGTCATACAGCAAGAGCTCTGCACACAGGCGGGGTTGTTTTAAGTACGCGTGTGTCCATCCAATATAGATGGTCTCGGAGACACATTCCGTTGTTGGTTTAGTTAGACACTGGCAATAAGACATTTTTCTTTTCGCTTAAGCTGCACCCTTATCTGTTTTCCTCGAACAGTAGACTAAATGCTTATAGACTGATATATCGTCTATGTATGGTCCTTCAGGCCCACAGTTCCACCGTCTCTCTACCTCCGAGGCTGAGTAAACCGGGGCTTGCACGCACGCGCAAGGAAGAAGAGGTAGGAGGGTTGCCACCAAGGAAGTCCTGGGAGAGCCGGGAACAGCTATAATTCTGCGCATGTGCAAAGAGAGAGGGTTGGGGAGTTGTGGGGAGGGGTTTGCGCGTGCGCAAAATTGTTGGGAAAGTCAGAAGGGGGGTTGGAGGAGGTATTGACAGCTGTGGAGGCAGCCCGCGTTCCCGGCATGCCCCGGGGCGGCGGGGTTGGCTCTAACGAATTTGAATGAGGAGCCTTAGCGCTTTCGGCGCCATTTTCGAGTGATGCCTGAGCCCATCAATCTAGCGGGAGAGATGGGATAACCTGTCCGACAGTAGATCGCCGATAGGACTCCACCGAAAAAATCACTTAAAAAATCTCCAAAAATCACTTCAAGCCGAGGGCAGTCCGCGGAGCTTGGCCAGGGTTGGCGCAGTCGGTAAGAGACTGAAGTAGCAGAGCGGGACTCGGGAGGTGGCAGTGGTGGGACTGGCAGGCGGAGGGGGTGCAGGGAGTGGGCACTGGGTCCGTCTTCATTTTAATCACGAAAAAAGCGAGGAGGTCGGGTTGGGGGTAGCGGGGTGTCTGCGAGTGGGCGGTGGCGGGCAGAATCGGCGGGAGCGCAGGGACGGGGTGGGGGGAGGGGAGCTGCAGTTTGAGCGGGACGGGCTGCGGCGGAGCGGCCGCCGCCCAGCGGATCTGTCAGCGCGACCCCCGAGGACCCGGACGGACGCGCGGGGCTCGGCGGCCGCGGCTCCTTGACGGGAGGAGCGAGACGAGCGCCTCCTCCCCCGTTGCGGAACCGGGCCGTCTTTTATTGCAGTTTGCCTGGCCTGCTGACGGCCGTCTTCTCGTGACAAGAAAGTTCAGGCTGGCGGAGAATTGAGGACCCGAAGGAGCGGGTGCCTCGCGCCCGTCGCGCTTTGACGCTGGAACGTGAGGAGCCCCAGGAGTGGGAGTTTCCCGCTGCCGCCCTCGGGCCCGAGCGCCTCGGTCCGGACGGGGGTCGCGCTGCCCGCTGCTGCGCTTCGGGGCAGATAGGGCTTTTGAGGCTCTAGCGGCTCCTGGGAAAGGTGCTGGACTTTCGCTTTTTGCCTGGGATCTTTGTCTTTGGCTCTCCCGGTGTTGTCCTTTCGGGGTGTGGGGGAGGACGGGGGGTATTGGGTGAGATAAAAGATGGGGCTTTGAGTCTTGCGATTGCCTCCAAGTCACTTTTCTTAGAATACTTTTTCTTCTCCAATCTTTGAAACATGTCGCGAGGAAAATAGCAATCTGTGAAGCAGTATTGATGTTTTCCTCGGAAAAGTCTTTACCGGGACAACTTAGCGGCAATTTTGCCCCCACCGCCCCCCCCACCCCCACCCCCACCCCCACCCCCTTTTCTTAGGAACTCTCTTGACCTGAGGCGGAGGGGAGGGGGATGTTATTTGTCTTTCCCTTTAGTGATTGCTTTTTTGTTGTTGTTTTCTTAGCTCCCAGTTCCTACCAATTCTTACTCGACAGCTCGAATGATTTGAGCCAGTGGCGGCTTTAAGTAATACTTGATAGGTAATGACCTTTGTAAATATATCGGTTCTGGAAGCCTTTTCTGTGGCGAAGCGCCCCGAGGTTAACTCCGTGCAGGCGTGGTGTTTGCGTGTGGGATGCACGGCTCTGAGTGGCGAATGCGCAGGAGATGGTCTTTGCAACAGCGATTAAACTGTTGGCCGAGAGGAATAGCGCTTCGGGGGACCCGCCTGCGGAATCCCCCTCCCCCCCGATGTAACGATGGGTTGATTTCTTATTTCTGTAAAGATGGGGGGAGCCGCCTTCACTTAGAATGTTTTCCCGAAGAGAACAGGAGAACGAAATGTGATGTTTTTCAAATTGTGTTTAACGGAGCACCCAAAACACTGGACTCGTTAGCCCCTGATTGGCTGGAAGAGAGCGGACTGAGGGATTTGAATGTTAAACACTAGATTATAATTTTCGACTTTACGAAAAATTATATTTTTAGACAACGGAAATAATTACAAAACGTTAATACGGAGAGCTGAAAAAAAAAGCTGGTGTTTAATTTTTTTTCCATAAAAGAACTTCGAGTGATTCTGAAATGTATATTAAAAGTAAAATTTAGGAGACAATTTTCGCAAAATAGTAATTCTGCTGGCAGAAATAGCAAGATTTTTAGATATTTGCCCCTGTTCTCTATTGGTTAAAACTGAGTGAAGCATTAAGATTGTTTATTCTTTTGACAGAAATTCTTCATCTTAAGCTACATATATTTATTAGATGCAGATTGCAGGGGAATTGTTTTTTTATTTTTATGAGAAGAAACTTTAATTTTCTTAATGTTGAGTTTTCCCACATTTTTTACAAAATTGGATATATTTTTAAATTTTTTCATATCTTTAAAATAAATGTTTTATTTAATTAGCCAATGTAGCGGGCTTAAAACTTTATTTACAGGAAATTTATATTGCTTAATTTACACAATACAACAGGTAAGTATGCACAGGTGCGTATATATGATTTCATTCCTTTGATAAATTTACTATGAAGAAAATATTGTATACAACAGTGGGTATGATGTGTTTTATTTGGTTGGTTTTAAGTTGATTTTTGTTTAACGTTGCTTGAGACAGCCATCTATATACTTATGTTTATTACCAGCTTGTCATTGCGTTTAATTGCATCTTGATAAAAGTCCGGTGTGGTTTTCAAAGAAAATTTGCAAACTTACTGATAAACAAGATAGCTGTTGATCCTTTTTAAAGTTTTTTTAAATTTAATGGAAATTTGCATCCTTTTGAGTAGTAGTTGAAATTTTGAAACTTAAGAGTTTGTATTCTCACATTAGATCAAACATGCATTGTTAGGAAATATTCAAATGACAGGCTCCTATATGACTTTTATAAGTCTCTGCAGGGCTATAAATATAATTTATATTAATAGAGTGGAATAACTGAATTTATAAATGGTACTATTTTATAGTGCCTTCATAACAAGAATTGCAATTACAGAATCTATGTTCATTACCTTATTTTAAAAGCTGTTTTATTTTCAATCATCTCATGAAAATTTCATAGAAAATACTAATTATCCTTTATTAAATTTAAGTTGATGAAATTATAGACAACCTCTTTTCTATTTTTAATGTAATTTTACCTATGATACCAGTGGGTTGTTGTTTTTTGTTGTGTGTTTTTTTCCTGTGGTTTTGTTTTTTGTGTTTTAATTTTCACTCAAATTATTATGTAACTTGGAGAATTTGAGGGTGGGAGAGGCTTTCAGATTCCACCAGGCTGGTTAAATTTAACCATACTTTTTTTAGTACTTTGCTTTATGGTTTTTGTTTTGGGGGTGATGGGTGAAGGATTGTCTTGCTTAATAAGATATTTTTTAAAGAAGAGAAGGATTCCTTTATTTAAAACACTGCTCTTAAAGCTTGAAAACACACTAGCATCTAAATAAAATCCACAGCATTAAAAATATTTTCCCTTTTGTGTGATATAGATAAGAGGAAGATTTTGGGCATTAGATTTGTGGGCATATAGGCATGAGTTCCAACAGATGCATATGATTACTATATTATGTATGTGATTGAATTTATTTTGATTGTACTGTAAAGACTAGAAAAGTCATAATACCACAGGAAAATAATGGTGAGTAAAGGTGTTACTATAGTAGCTCAACTCTTTTTTAAAGCTATGTTTACATATTGGTGGGGGGAGAGGGAACTTGAGAAGGTAAGGTATCAGTCTTCCTGTTAGCATTGATTTTAATTTTTGTCTTTACTATTTTTAAAAATCCAAATAAAAATGCAGTTTTAGACTTTGTTTTAATGCTGTCAACTGTCTTAGTTGTACATTTACAGAATGTACTCTCAGGTGTTTGTATGTAGCACTGTATTTTTTCTAATCAGATTAATATCACTTTTAATGTTTATCATGAACTAGAACTAAAGAGGAAAATTTCAAAATAACTTTCATATTCTGGATTCCTTATATTATCATGTTTGGTATACTACATTTTTGGTTTTTGTTTTGTGGCAATTACCTATATTTTTATTTCTGTTTATTTATTGATATGTAGTAACAGTTCAGAATGTAACAAAATATTGTAGTCCAGAAATATTGATCAGTTGATTTGGTTTACAAAAATAAAATAGCCAGAAGATTATATTAGTTATTTGTTCTACATGATACATAAACTTTCTCCAATTAAAAAAATCAGAGTATAAATTTATACACTATTTTGAAATTTTATTCTACAAAAAATTATCTCTTTATTTTAACAAATTACTGGCCTAAAATTGGCTCTTGTCTTTTGTTTGTTTGTTTGTTTAATGAAGCATAATGATCCCCATATTGATTTCTTTTTAACCCGTTTTTAAAAGAAACAGGCTATGAATCTGATTATAACTAGAAAACACATCTTAAAAAGAATGGTCATATTTTAGAGTATGAATACACTAAATAATAAAAGAACATTTTTGTTCTTTTATTATTATTATTCAGCAAGCTTACAAACACTATGTGTCAGGCAACTAATCTGGGCATGTAATAAGAACTCAAACTATGACTTGCTGAAATTTGGTAGCCCCTCTCTTAACACTAAAGGAAATCGGTAATAAAATACCACAATTACCACTTTCTTTTAAATGTTGAAAATGAGATTAAGCTGTTTGCATTTTTTACAAGTTACTGTTAGAGCTTTAAAGTTGATTGTCTTATTAATATGAGTAACATCAGTTTTATAATATCACATTACTAAATGTGTTTATATATTTTTCAAATACAAATGACTGTAAAGCCTTCCTATAAATACTGCTTTCTGGAGGGGAAATGATTTCCATTTGTCTTCCCTCCCCCCACCCTTCTTGACTGTCTTCAAGATGCTTTAAAAGGTCTTCCTTTAAAGATAAGTTTCAAATATTAGAATTGATATTAAATACATACAAATTTTATTCTAAATATTTCTTATGATAAATGAGAAGTTTACCATACTTTTGTTTAATTCTGACTTATTTTACTAAAAAATTTTTACACTGGAAAGATGTGGGTTCTAAGTATAAATAATAAACTATTTTGTAATAGATTTGAGTTTCATTATTTAAAGGTTTTTTACATCATCTTTTTAATCATTTGGTTTAATATTTGTCTTTGTACTTCCTTTGTTCTTTATTATCAGTATATTTTGTTTTCCTACTATGTAAAAAGTTAACTTTTGGCATAGAGTACATATTGGTATCAACTACATTTCTTTTGAGATTTTTAAAGCTAAGCTACCTTAATTTTTATAGTACTCAAATATAGAAAACTTTGTCTATATCTTTGAGGAAGACTATTGTAGTAATGATTTTAATTTTTTAAAATATCATGGTATTTAATTGGTGTTTGTGGGTTATGTGTGTGTGGTTTTTGCCATTAAATAATCAAATATTTGGCACCAAAGAAGTAAAAATTTACTTGGTTTTTATTTCTTTTCCTAAGCTATTTTTAAATAAATAAGGATAACTCAGAGCTTTTTGGTTCACTTATAGTACATTATTAATCTTTGGTAATTTAGCAATTTAATATTTTTATATACTAGATTGCCATTAAGTCAAAATATAGGTGAAACAAATCAAAAGCCACATATACATTTGGTTACACCATGTCTGCTAGGAACATTAAAAAAAGCATTGGCCCAGTATTCATCTGTTTATTACTTATATTTTAATTTGCTTAGAGAGTAAGTTCAAAATTTTGTTCTGTTACAATTGTAATGTCTAAAATATTTGGAAATGTCAATATTAATGTTCACTCCGGTATGGCAAAAGATAAAAGTTGAAAATAATGGTAATTTCTATAATCATTAAAAGTTTGATAATTTGGGGAGAAAGGTAGTAAAAAGTTCCTCTCCATCCCTTAAGTATTTTTTTAAACTGGGTTTTATAAGTTTCAGAAGCACAGACAAAATGTATCTCTGGTATTTTCCTTGTGAGTCCCCTTTACCAGTTCTCTAACACCTACTTACACACCCTCCCCCGCTACACTGCTTTGAAAATGAATGCCCTAAAGAGAAATGAAAGCAGAAACATATTAATCTGATTTGAAGAGGCTTCAAATGATAAAGCATATCACAGGTGTTTCTAATCAAGTTATTTCTATTCAAATAACATTATTTTCAAGTTAGTGTGTTTTCTAACATACGCAAGATTGAGGTCATTTTGAAGACCTTACCTCTGTCCAGGGATCCAATGTGGAACTCCAGGAGGCGGAAATCTGTTGAGTGTCTTCTTGCTATAATACATGACATTTTTATTGCAGGTTTTGACCTTAAGGAGAGAGCCAGTTCTGGAGAACAACCTAACTTCTTTGATTGAGCACTCACATAATGCACTGGAACATGTTAGGAGATTAAGGTATACTAATGAATTTTAGAAGCATACAGTTTTATATCTTTTCAATATAATTGGGTTGCACAATTGGTAAAGCTAGAACTTTTAGATGAGTTAAAACTCAGTAAAGATATAGTAATACATCCTGTGAAGTAGCCATGGTTAAGTACTCTTATTAAAACTCCAGATTTTTTATATAGTTGATCTCATCATCTTGTATTAGGTCCAACTCCAACTGAATTTATTTAGTCTAAAAATAAGTATATATAGGGATTTTTCTTTTTTTCCTCTTAGGGTTGTTATTATAGTGTTATATATAAAAGAATTAAATGTTGGACTTTTCATCTTATAAAATAGAAAGTTTCAATCAAATGGAATTTGGTGCTTGGCTGTATGATGGGTTTAGTGGTCAGTAGAGCCTATAAAATTAGATAAAATTAATGAGAATATTTTTAAAGCATTTAAAATATTCCAAGTAGTATTCTAACTAAAAGTGGCAATTTGGTTGAAACTGAAAAACCCACTTTCTTAAGTAGAAACTAGTGTCTGACTCATGGGTGTTCCAAGTAAAATATTTAAATTGTTCATATCAGAAGTTGCAAACTCTTTAAAAATAAATGGGAGAATGCCAAAATTTCTAGTGACTTATTGTTTTTTCCTCCAGAAAACTTTACAACAGAACCACTTTTATAACATTTATTTTCTTTGATTTGTATGGGTTTAGTTGAAAATTTTGGCTACTTAGCTAATAAAATTCTTGATTTCTAAATGGTAATCTGGTATAATGAAAATGAACTTGAACAGTATTACTATGATTTTTTAAAAACTATTTGCCACATAAAGTGAGCTTTACTAAAATATAATGTACTATAATTTTTCTTTAAATGTTTTTTTCACCTAAAAATATTTACTTTATATACTTAAGATATAGGAATTACAAAAGTGGGGTGTGTTTTTTTTCCACGAGAAAAGTGTAATTTAGTCTTAAGAATAAAGTGTAATTATCATGGTCATAAAACTACTTTTATCTGTAAACATATCTTTACACATTATTAAATATTTTTAGAGAAAATTCTCAGATGTATGTTTAAGAATTTCTGAACATTGAGATATATATCAAAATACTAAAAAGCTAATGTTAGATGTTTTTGTATTAGTAGATATTAGATCCAGGAATGTGAATCTATTAACAATTAAGGTTAAATAAAATGTTAAAAATTTAATAGAAATTAGTTTAATATAAGGGTGAAATTCAGATGTTGATGTCATTATACTGTAGGTGATTGAGATAAATACATAATATTAGAATGTCTTTCATAACTTTGATTTGAGCATGTTATGAAAAATGTGAGTTTAATTGGGAAGAAAATGAAAATTTGCTCCCCTTTAACTTAACCATTGTTTTCCAGGTTAGAGAATTATAATGAAAAGTAAAAAATATGATTTCTGAATGTCTGGGGGGAAAAATCCAGGTTCAATTTATTACTTTCAAACCAGGTATCTTTACACACAGCCTTATTGAATTAAATGGGTGAAGAGAAATAGCTTTTGCATTTATATTATAGATAAGGACATAAATCCATAGAATTATCCCTAATTTAGAGAGCTTATGATTTCTGTTCTTTGAAATTGTCAAAATTTACTCTTTGGACACAAATTTTTAGCATCATAAAATTGTCCTCTCTATACACTGGCTTATAAACTTAAAAATTTTAAACTTAGTAAGTAATTTAATATCTAAAAGAATCAATGCAGATATTAATAGTTTTCTTGTATTTGGTCACTTCTTATGAAGGATCAGAAACTTTAATTTGTAGTATTTTATTTTAGGAGACATGTTATTAAGTTTTTATACTGCAAAGTGTGATTGGTTATCTTTTAACTGCCCCTTAAAGGACATTTTGTAAGGATTTTGGCTGTTGTAAATTTGCAAACCCGCTTATCTATATCTAAGCCTTGATATGTACTTCATTATGTCAAAATTTTGAGAAAGAATTTATTTTTTTTCCGTTGATAAACTTACATCTTGTGCAAATATCTATATTTTTTGTTAAATGCATTTTTGGGGGTTAAATGACACTTGTTTTAAGGAAAAATTCTTAATTGTTTCTAAAATACAGCTATACTGTCAGTGTTCCTATTTTATTGAAATAGTTATCCTTAGGATCTGGTGGGAGAATATTTGGATAAACTAGAATAGAGGTAATTTAACATATGTGTATGAAGGAACTTGAAATTATTCATTATTTGTCATTGATATATAATGCTAATTTATAAGGACAACTTATATTTTAAGTAACTTGTCAGCTATACCAACTTTATTTAATAGAGGTTTTATTAAAGAGTAGATACAATTATCTTTCTTAATAAAAAATGTTTATTTGAAGCAGTTTTGTACGTGAGTAGTTTGTTTCTTTTCTTGACTAGGAAATTCATCCTAATTCTATTTCTGTTTTTTTCAAATGAGACCTAATGCATCAGAATTACATTTTCGGATAAGCATTTTCAAAAGGCAATATTTAGTGTGAGAATTTAAATTTTTTGCTAAACATTATTTTGAAGTAGAATTTAAGTTCTCAGCAACACAAACCACACTTTTGGTGTTTCATTAACATATAATTTGGCTTACTTTTTCCTATTTTCCTGGTTAGAGTCACTTGGAACAGAAACATGAAGCATGTTTCAAAAGCACCTGCTGATACTGATTAATCTTCTGGTTAATACTTTATTTATTACTGTTTGCAAATGTCTTAATTTTTAAAAATCCTTTTATTTTGCTATTAGTATTTTATTGTATAGCCTTTATATTAAATACATATATTTAGAAGTTTTATTATCCTGTGACCTTCAGAATTATTTTTATTTTTATTATTTTTTTCCTATTGCACTACTAAGCAGAAAAAATATGCTTTCAATTGTGAGAAAAATAAAAGATTGGGTGTTTTTTTTCTTTTTACAAAGTATTATGATCTGAATTTTAAATATTACTGTGTTTTATACTTTTTTTAAAGAAATAGCAAACCTATCCTTTTTTACCAAATATTTTTAAAAATGTATCAGCCAGTTCTAGCATTTATAAAAAATGCTATAGGTTTCCTAATTTTTCTGACTTCTAAAATATCTTTTCAGAATAAAAAATTTCCGTAGTTGTTAAAAGGTACAAATTGCTTTTAAATATTAAGTTTTAAGTTTATAAATAGCATCACATTTAAATTTAAAGGTAATTTGACAGAACAGTTTATTTTTCTTATTCATCATCAATTGATATTATGTACTAAGTTTTTAGCTTTGTGTTACACATTTAAAGTAGATAAGTTACATGTAGAAATTTTTTAGTTGTTGGGATTTTTGTAAACTTTATGGGCTAAAAAATATTTTTTTATTAATGGTATCTAATGTGAAACATATGGTAGTGATTAATTGGGAGCCTGGTGCTCTTTGTAAGCAAAATACAAGTTCATATCTTGATTAAAGTTTAGATACTTTCTTATTCTCCAGGAGACTAGCTATGGAAAATACTCTTTATGAATTAACCCTAAACCTGGGTAAAAAGACAGCCTGAGAATTTTGGTAATTGAGCAACTAAACTACAAGTTGCAGATCATTACATGTCATTAAATTATTTTCTGAGATACATTAATAGGTGCCCTTTCTAAGCAAAACACCAATTTTGTCTTTTTGTCTTGTCTTCCCATCCTGCTTTTTAAAGAAAAAAATTCCTTCTAAATAAGTATATTGTATAATGATGTAAGCAGACATACTAGGTAGGTTGGATTGAACCATTTTGTTTTTCTTATTAGTTATATATGCTTTTCTCAGTTTGCTGCTTCAGCAGCAGCAACAGTGAATAAACAAGTATCACCACAGCCCTTGTTCTTGTCCCTTATAGCTGGGAACAGGAGCTGGGAGATTGCTGCTTCTACTCAGCTGTTGTACACAATAGCATCAAATATGCAATAATGGTGGCCAAAAGAACCTAAACCCACCAGTTTTTACAGACTAGTTGTGACGGGCTTGTCAGTGTAACCCTATATATTATATTCGTCGACAAAAAGGTGTCTTCTTCCCAGAGGAGCATAAAAAGAGCCATAGGTACTTACAGTGTTTAGACTTTTATTATTTTTACTATTTACTCTTGTTTTACTTAATGTAATTTTCATTCAGTTAATTTCCTCTGTTTAAATGTAAACTTGTCTTGCATCTGAAAGTGTGTATGGTGTTTCATGTTTTTCACTTTTAAGCTGGTAAACTGGAAAAATTAATAATTAGTTGCTAATAACACAAGTTAGGTAATATTGAAGAAAGAAAAGTTTGACGGTAGCCACATAGTGTTTTTTTCACATTGGGGCCATATTCCCAACCCATATTTTCGTTTTCTATAGCCCAATCTAAACAAGGCCAACTTATTGTAGATTTCACTATAACTAAAAAGAATACCACTCTATACTACTTAATATTGTATATAACTAATACAAAGCATGCTGCAGATAGAAACTCATAAGTCTTTGCTTTTTCTCACTGTTAATATCTTATAACTGGAAAATTCAGATTATTCTAAATCTTTCAGAGATAGGACTTTGTAATTTCAAATAGTATAAAAGAGTGTTTTTATAATTTAACACAATTTGATTTTGCACAGGTTTGTATCACCTAAATATCTGTACATTTTCTCATCTTTTCTATCTAAATCATTCCAATAGGTTGTAATTACAGGGAAGTAAATATTGGGTTTCTGTTAAAGTACTGATTTCATTTGTAGCATTCTTCCTGGGAACTACAATGACATTTTAGTGTGTGAGCATGTCTTAAAGTCTGACATTTGCAATAGCATTTCTTTAAAAAGGTAACAAATGTCCTCATTAAAAACAGAACTAATCACCCCCACTCTTAATGTTTTCCCTTACTAATTACAGTAAACTAAGAATATTCCCTAATATTATCCAAAAAAGTTTTGTTGTAGTATGTGCTTGGTTATCTGAAATGATAAGTGATCCCACGACCTAGTTTAATATTGTGAAGTAAAACATATTCAACCATAAGTTGAGATTACTATGTTTTGCTAATACTGAAGTGTTTTCTTTAATATGTTGATGTAATTTACAGATAACATTAGTGTTAAATGACCCTTAACCAAAAAGTGAGCTACATAATCCTTTATATCAAAAACACCTTGTTTTTACTACTAATTACTGTATAAATTGTCTGTGGACTACCTGTACCAGAATAACCTAGAATAAAACATTTTCCAGACCTGCTGAATCAGAATCTAGAGCTGGGGCTCAGGAATTTGGGTTTTTTCCCCAAGCTGTAATGTTTTGTTTTGTTTTTTGTTTTGTTTTGTTTTGTTTTGTTTTTAGAAGCACTACATGCGAGAAGCATTGCCCAAAAAGAAATGAGGGACGATTCTTCACATCAATAAACCATTTATATTTTCTGCTTTCTTTTCTCTTTGATCATTGTGTATCTAAGTTCAGTAACTAATTATGAACCTTATCATTTCTTCCACAGTAGTTCTAGATAACATCTTGGTATTTCTTCAGTCATATGAGGAAAATCTATATTATGTGAGCTTTATTTTTGTGCAAGTATCTTTGGCCAAATTTTAGTCTGTTCTATTTCTTTGGAACATTTAGTATATCTACACTTGATGAATTGATCATTTAAGAATTTTTTGTTTTCATCTGCATAGTAGCACTTTTTCTTAAATGTAGTTTTATTATTGGAGAAAATACAGAAAGAGGAACTTTTCTTATGCTGCTTGTGGGAGCATTTGACAAAATTCTAATAAAGTTGAAGATATACTTAGGTTTGAACACAACAATTCCATTCCTAGATGTCCTAGATAAACTAAGACGTGTGAAAAAATCTTGCTTACTATTACTTTTCATAGGAAAAATTTTGAGAGCAATTTGAATGTTAAGTAAAGAAAATGATAAATTGTGACATAATCATATGAACTCTTTGTTATACTGCTATTTAAGAGAGCTGTGTGTATTATTATAGATTAATGATAAAAATAAGTTGCAAAGTATACAATACATTATACAAAATATATATGGCATGGTAACATTTATGTAAAGTTTGAAAACAATCCTATATAATAAAAGCATAATATGTAAATTGACCGAACAATGGAACAACCGGTCACTATGACACACACTGACCACCAGGGGGCAGACGCTCAACGCAGGAGCTGCCCCCTGGTGGTCAGTGTGCTCTCATGCAAGCGCTGCTCAGCCAGAAGCCAGGCTCACGGCTGGCGAGCGCAGCAGCGGTGGCGGAGCAAGGGGTCCCGGGCTGCGAGAAGGCGCAGGCTGGGCTGAGGGGACCCCCCCCTTCCCCCATATGCACGATTCTTGTGCACCAGGCCTCTAGTGATATATGTTGTTTTAAATACTTGAATTTATAATAATCATATAAAAGCATGCATAGTTAATGAAAACCAAATTCAGGATTATAATCAGGAGAGAGGGGAATGAGACTCAACTATATATGTAGTCTTTCTTAAAAAATTTAAGCAAAGTAAGCATGGCAGAATATTAGAATTAAATACAGCTGGATTGGAGAGCCAGGGCTAAGATGTGGAGATTCATTTTGGTATTCTCTTGGTTTTTCTTTGGATTTAAAATGTTGGGGTTTTGTTTGTTTTTTTGTTTGTTTTTGAAATTAATGAGACAAAAGTGCTATTTTTTTTTTTTGGCAAAGATCTTCTACAATAAGATGTACAATTGGAATGAATGTTTCATTAAGCATGGATGGGTTTATTCTGTTCATTCTATTCTGTGACTTGTAGTAAGTTCTTAACTGTTAGTTGGTGTAAGAACAGTTTATAATATGTCCCAAAGAAGTCAAACCTTTTAACAAACTTAAGTTTCCAGGATATTTTTCAATTTTTTTATTTTTAAAGAGAAGATGTAATGTTTTCTTTTGCATACTGGCTTTTAATCCTTCCTATTCTTAATAAGTAAAGGGCAACCATGGAAATAAATTTTTCTTATCATTACTCTTTCATTTGCTCCTGCATTCAGGCAATTTCACAACTATATTTTCTCTTGTTTTGGCCATCCTAATATATAAAAAGCCAGGGGCCATCATGACCAAAACAACCAAATGGACAACTGAACAACAGGCTGCGTGAGGCAACAAGGCGGGCAGGGGGGCAGTTGGGGATGACCAGGCTAGGGGGGGGGGCAGTTGGGGGCGACCAGGCTGGCAGGGGGGGCAGTTGGGGGCGATCAAGCCAGCAGGCAGGGGCAGTTAGGGATGATCAGGCTGGCAGGGGGCGCATTTAGGAGCAATCAGGCAGCCAGGTGAGCAGTTAGGAGCTGGCGGTCCTGGATTGTGGGAGGGATGTCTGGGATCGGGCCTAAACCGGCAGTTGGACATCCCCTAAGGGGGTCCCTGATTGGAGAGGGTACAGGCTGGGCTGAGGGGACCCCTCCCCCATGCACAAATTTCGTGCACTGGACCTCTAGTAGATTATAACATTACTAGAGGCCCAGTGAACGAAATTTGTGCACTGGTAGGGTCCCTAGCGGCTGTCGACTGGGTACTCTCTTCTCCTGGCCGCCTGCCACCACTGCTGGCCAGGACCTCACTCCCTTCCCTCGGCTGGCCTACCCTGTGGTCGAATTCCTGGAAGAACTCCAGTCAGAGGGACAATTTGCATACTATGCTTTTATTATATAGGATTTTCAACCATTTATTTATACATATTTAAACACCTTAAGCTTTGTATTTATAATAGAATTATTGAAATTGGGCACTGTGTGGTTTTTAGTTTTTGCAGTAGCATACATGTATGTGTATGTATGTTTGTGAGAGAGAGGTTGGTCAATCTTGTGGTATGATCTTGAATTTATCTTAAAATATCTGTAATTATGATGTTCTCCAGAAGCTCAGTGTGCTTCAAGTTAGACATTGAAGAATGAGTTTAAGTGCACTTACATATTAGACTTTTAAACTTCAAGATGGTATTAGTAATAGAAAAGTGAGTTTTAAAAACTAATAATAAGCCCTGGCTGGTGTGTTCAGTGGTTAGAGCGCCAGGCATGCACTTGTCCCTCCACACACCACCCCCCCACACCCCCCCCCCCCCCCCCCCCCCACACACACACACAGTAGAGTTGCTGGGTTTGATTCCCAGCCAAGAGCAGGTACCTGGGGTTCCAGGTTCCATCCTCACCCAGATGGGGGCACCTGTAGGAGGCAACCAACCTATGTGTCTCTCACATGATGTTTCCCTTCTCCCTCCCTCCAATTCTCTCTAAAAGTCAATGGGAAACATATCCTTGGGTGAGTATTAACAACAACAACAAAACCCAAAGCAAACAAACTCTGAACTGAAATATATAAATGGTGCTGGATTTTATAATCTGTGATTGTTCTATGCTTAATAGGGAGCAGAAAACTGTCAACCTCGATTGCTAATTTTATAACATATAATGTGAACACATTTTTAAAGTCTTCACTTTTATTTTTTTCTAGGTTTATAACGATAAAATGAAGACCATGATAAAACAGCCTTGTACTTAGTTCATCAGTTCTTACCTTGTAAGTATTAACTCGGCCCCCCTACCATTGCTCTAAAAAGTTACTGTTTGATGTAATTTTTTGCTTTATTTCTGATTTTTTACCATCCTAGAATGACAACTTACTAACGTCCCCTTATCCTCTACACATTGAAGGTTGGTGTTTTCTTGTGTTGTTTTTTTTTTAATATATTTTTATTTTTTAAATTCATTTTTATTGATTTCAGAGAGAGGAAGGGGAGGGGAGGGAGGGAGGAAGGGAAGGAGAGAGAGAGAGAGAGAGAGAGAGAGAGAGAGAGAGAGAGATGAGAGAGAATCATCAATTGGCTGCCTCCTGCATGCCCCCTACTGGGAATCGAGCCCACAAACCAGGCATGTGCCCTGACCAAGAATTGAACGGTGACCTCCTGGTTCATGAGTCGATGATCAACCACTGAGCCATACTGGCTGGGCGAAGTTTGGTGTTTATTTAATCCATTTTAGAGCAAGAATAATGCCATTGCCATAGGTAATTTTTCTATTTGGGAAAGTATCTTACAGGTAGGCCCTAGCATCTCTAACTCTGAGAATCACAATTTTGCACCCTTTTCCTTCAAAGGAATTTACATATAAGTATGGTCTTATTATCATTATTCAGGTTCCTTGACAGTTATTTTATGGTTTTATAAATTGGAAGTATTCTCTCCATTTAAGAAATTATTTTTTATTATTATTATTATTATTTTTACATTTCCCTAGGTTACACTTTATACTTCTTTGTGAAGTGCTTTAGATTTAGCTGTTAAACTTCAGGAGGTGGGAAAAACAGGAAGACAATCCCTTTTCCTTCCTTTTATATATACACATGCATACCTCTTTTCTTAGAATATGAAAGATCTTTACCCTGATTCATTTAACTTTTGAGAAACAAGTAAATTCTAAGGGAATAATTCTAACACATTAGCTAAAATTAATATTATACCATTAGAAAAACTCTCAAATCTAGGAAATATGTATTTCCTTAAAAATATTTGAGATTCTCTGCCAAAAAGATTAATTTCCATATATTTCTTGAGCTAATTTTATATCTCTAAATGAAAGTAATGTGCAGCTATTTCTGTTCTTGATGTTGAGGGATGGCCCTGTTTAAAGGAAAACTAATCCTTGAGATGCTTTTTTTACATTATCTCATACTATTGCATTAGTGACCCAGTAAATAATGTCTATGTGTTGAAGAGTGACTTTATTATGATCATAGGTGGTCATCCACTGAATTTGATAAGTAGTTTTTAGGGTACAAATAATTAAATATTAAAACTTTTAATAATGAGCCAGTTTGAAGAGTAGTAGCCAAATGTCACAGGTCACTTCTTTTTAAAATTTTCCCCCTCAATATTTTTGTTTCTGGAAAACTAGAATGGAAACATTTGCAAATCCCCAAAGAATCCTATATAATCCAGGCTTGGGTTTCTTAATTGGTCCCTTGGAAGCCAGCTCAGCTTTTCTTCAACTAAAGTCTCAGAAAAAGAAGTCTTTTCAATTTGTATTGCACTTACTATAGACTGAGGGCAGTCTGCTCTTCAAAAAGAAATGAGTATCATTTAACTTTAAAAAAATTTTTAAGCACACATAACGTTGTTAACCTCATTTCATCTCCTTTATAAATTTCTAAGCAGTTTTTCTTGGCTACTCTGCAGTATCTTTTAAACATAGGTCATTTGCAATATTTCATAGTTGGAATTTTTTTTCTGTTGTTTGTTCTAGGTAATATGCCTGGAGTTCCCTTTAAGGTACTAAAATGGTAATGTTTCCAATTAAACAATATCCAGAAAAATAGCACATAGTGACAGTAGTCCATGATTCTGAATAATTATGTGTATGCCTCTTATTTATTTATTGAACATAACAGGGAGAGTAAAACTGACAGCCTAGATAAAAAATGTGATTGCTTACTTGTGGACATAAATTTATTTCAATTCTGCATTCAATTTATTCCTGTTTTCATGTGGAGATAACTTTGAAGACTCAAATATTTCAGACAGATTAGTGACAAAGGGCAAGACTGCATTGAGTAATCTATTGATGTTACCTATTTTATTTATGCTTAGAACATGAAATCCCTATTATACTAGAGTTCATTACATTTGTATGTTTATTTCCTATTTAAATCAAGACCTGTGCTATTAAATTTTGCCTTGTTTTCATTTTCCTGATATGTTTACAACACAAGGTTTAGGGATAAACTGACTCACTCATGCACTCTCTCCTTTGTCACCTGAGAGACTCATGACTGATCGAGAACCAAAGTTTCATTCAACAACCAAGACATTTTTCCCCATAAAAACTTGGTTGAGAACCAAATTGTTTGAGATGGGAGATGTTTAAGAACCGAGGTTTGGCTATATTTATTAGTTCTTATCAACTTTTTTGTATTGTATTTCTTGGCTGACATCATGGTATATTTATAATTGATTCATATCTAGAGTAAAATCATCAAAAATTTAATACCCCGCCAAAACCGGTTTGGCTCAGTGGATGGAGCGTCGGCCTGCGGACTGAGGGGTCCCGGGTTCGATTCCGGTCGGGGGCATGTACCTGGGTTGCGGGCATATCCCCGGTGGGAGATGTGCAGGAGGCAGCTGATCGATGTTTCTCTCTCATCGATGTTTCTAACTCTCTATCTCTCTCCCTTCCTCTCTGTGAAAAATCAATAAAATATATTTAAAAAAAAAAAAAAAATTTAATACCCCCAAAATATGAATGTTTAGCTTCTATTTAGGGACTTATATATAAATATCCTGACTTTTCTGGGATAAATTGTCTAAATTGAAATCCACTTCACAGTTTCCAAATAATCATTCATTTGTTAATTTCTCCATCTGGAAAAAAAAAATCAAGGTAATATAGAAACAGTACAACTTAAATGCAAAAACTAGGTTTTTTGGATTATAGCAAAATGTTATTTCATTGCATGCCTCATCACCACACTGAATTTTAAATATATCTTCTGTAGTTAATATAATCTTTTTGTATTTAATCAGTTGTACCCAAAAGACAAGTAAAAAAGAAAAAAGGAAAAAAAGCGAAACACATTTTAATCTGTTACCCGTGAGTTTTATATATTTGGACATTTCATAAACCTCTCAATTTCTTAATAGGGTAATGAAAAAAATTACCATATTCAGTGAAATTGTCATGCTGTTTGGTTTGACCCCATAATTTAGGCTTTGCTTAAAGATATTAAAGAGTGGTTAATTTAAAATATTCTTCAAGTATAATAATACAGGGTAGGGCCCTGGACATTGTGGCTTGATGGTTAGAGGGTTGACCCATGCTCCGAAGGGTCGAGGGTTCGATTCCCAGTCAAGGGCATGTACCTGGGTTGCAGGCTCGATCCCCAGCCCAGGTTGGAGTGCCTTCTGCCTACGGGAGGCAAACAATTGATGTGTCTCTCTTCCCCTCTCTCTCTAGTCCTTCTCTCCCTTCTCCTACTCCCCCACTCCCTCCTTTCCATTATCTAAAAATTAATGGGAAAAATATCCGGTGAGGATTAACAAAGAATAATAATAATAATAATACAGGGTGGGGCAAAAGTAGGTTTACAGTTGTTCATATGGAAAATACAATAATTAATAAATAATACAAGAGTAAATGGTTTTGCATACTCACAACTGTAAACCTACTTTTGCCCCACCCTATATTTCATTACTTAAGTAGTATTCCACTGTCCTGAGCAAGGATAATCATTCTGCAGCCCAGAATGGTTATATATAGCCAGCTCCAGAGGTTTAAGTGCAGAATTTAAAGCATACTTGAAGAAAGTAATTACTATTATAAAATGTATTGATGCCAGATTAAAAGTAAAATTAAGATACTTGAAAAATCTAAAGTAATGTAGTAACACATAAAGGATAGCTAAATAACAAAGTAGCAGAAATATTTTTATGCCATGTAAAGAGGTACTCCTTCTCTATCTAGCTGGAATTGCTCCACTAGAATCTTTCACTTTATTAATAATTTAAATCAAGAATTTTCACATTTGATTAAAATAAATCAAGAATTTCTGTATTTTATGGAAATATTTTTATCAGGCTTTCAAATAGAAAGTAGATTTTTTTAATTATCTCAGATAGTTAAAAGTAGAAATAAAAATAGGGAAAAAATCATCCTCATGAGGGTGATTATTAAAACATCGGTGATAAAATTACAATATGTATTGTCACAGAAAGCAATAATCTTTGCCTTGGCCAGTGTGGTTCAGTTGGTTACATCATCCTCCTGTGCACCAAAGGGCCTCCAGTTCAATTCCTGGTCAGGGAGACAACTGATTGATGTTTTCCTCCCTCCCTCCGCTCCTCCCTCCCTCCATCCCTTTCCCTCCTTCTCCTCTACCTCTTCTCCCTCCCAAGGTAGTTAGTATTTATTGGGTATAGTTTTAGTTGCTATGGATAAAAAGGTTCTAGAGAATGGAGGGTGGCAATGATTTGCACAGCAATGTGAATGGTCTTAATGCCATAGAACTTTAAAATGGTAACATTTATGTTAGGTATATTTAACTGCAATTTTAAGAAATAAAATAAATGACGTTCTTAATGTGAATTTTTTTAAAAAAGGTTTTAAAAACTGATTGCATTTTATAGTATTCACATTTCAAGTATGGTATACTTGGCTTAGTTTAAAATATATACTAGTAGACTTAGCAAAAGAAGTATTGGAATTGAAATGACTCATTTTTCATGATTTTGAAATAATCATTCATGCCGAAACCGGTTTGGCTCAGTGGATAGAGCGTCGGCCTGCGGACTAAAAGGTCCCAGGTTCGATTCCGGTCAAGGGCATGTACCTGGGTTGCGGGCACATCCCCACTGGGAGATGTGCAGGAGGCGGCTGATCGATGTTTCTCTCTCATCGATGTTTCTGACTCTCTATCTCTCTCCCTTCCTCTCTGTGAAAAATCAATAAAATATATTTTTTTTTTAAAAAAAGAAATAATCATTCGTTTGACTTTGTAATAATTATTTAATGTATACCTCTACTTGCCGCAGGCTCAAAGAACAATATATAATCTTGAACGGTTATTTATTTCATGATTTTTGTCTCAATCTAAATGATCTTAAATTTTTTGGAAGGGATTTTGTCTGGTATATTAGTGTACCAATTAGTGTAACAACTGGGGCCGTGCCTAGCTCATAGTAGGTGTTCAATAAAGTATTTGTTAAATTATATATATATATATATATATATATATATATAGTTTGTATATTTGAAAATTGTCACGCTTACATTTTTGTCTGAAAGGGTGTGCCTTTTTGTCTGGAAAGTGGGTTTGAGGGGAGAGGGTAACCTGAAGGTCAGTTTCTTAGTGTAATTGGTAAACACAAATAAGTATTATGTATTTTCATGTTATTGCAAACAGATTTATTTTGGCTACATATTAAAAATTGTGTGGAAAAGTAAGACACTAATAGAGTAGAGTAACATATGAAACACAGGTTGCTCAGATAGGAGATTAATTACATATGTTTTTTAATAATAGTGAAAAATTCACAAGAAAATTAATATGGACTATATGACAGTTGTGCTTTTTCTAAACAATTAGATATTAGGAGGGAGGGACAAATTTCAGTGCACATCACGTTATTCTGTAGAAGTATTGTAGCATTAGCAAAGCTATTTTAATGGTGAGAAAACGGGAATAAAAGAGGTTATCAAGATTTGAGCCAGAGCCCTGGTAATTTTATCTTTTAGAGGAGTGGTAGGGAACGTCCAGTCCATAGGACATATAAAGCCCTCAAAATCATTTGATCTGGCCTTGTCAAAGCATTAAGGGTGAGTTAATTAAATGTGTGACAAAATGTAGCAGGCTAATTTTTGAGTTGACAATTTTATGTGGCCCAAGAATGATGTTACAAATATCCAAATAGCCCTTGGCAGAAAAGAGGGTTCCCCACCCCTGTGAGAGAAATATGTAATTCCCAAAGTTGAATAAGTGGAAAATGTTTAGGAGAATATTTTCTTGCCTGATGAAGAGTGGAAACAGGTAAGGGGAAGAAAGATAAAGAGCTACAGGATTCCTGTTTTTATTTCTCATCTCTGGGTACAAAGTTAACTTATCTTTCCAAGGCTTCATATTCTAGAATTACGTCTTATATAAAATGATATCCAACTTTGACAGACTATTTTAGTAGGGAGATAAATGTTGAGGGTAAAATATTTAGGTTTTTAAACATAAATTATTTAAGAAAATTGATTTATTTGGGGTCTTTTTACTTAGTATTAAATATTTCATGTGACTTCATTTTGCTAGCTTTAGTTTACTGAAACTGAGCTCTTGCATGTCATTTTTTATTTTTCTCTTGATATGAAGTCTTATCTACTTAATGAAGATGTCTTATGAAAAGTGTACTTCAAGGAATGAAATGCTGTTTATAATATATGCTGTTACCAAGGTAAAGACCAAATTTTATGAATTTACTTTTTATAAAAGGAAAAAATAACTTAAAGTATTTAATACATTTAAAAATTTGATTAAATATTTAACTGTATTAACTTATTAAGGTGACCTAGGAAAAATACTTTTCTTTTCCTCACATTATGCATTTTTGTTTTCCTAACTATAGCAAAGTGCTTGGCACATAGTTGGCTTTCCTTAAAATTTTGATGTAGAAATAAATATGCTACTTAAAAGCTTCTAAGAAACTAATTATGCAATAGTCTATAAACATGGAATATTTAATGGTTTTATTCTCTTTTTTCCCTAAAAGAAAAAAAAATATTTTTGTATCTTTAGGTGCTAATGTGAGTTTAAAAAAATAAAACCTTGGAGTAAAGTAGCAGCACATAATGGTTTGTGGGTTTTGAAAAGGTGCAGGCCATATTGTGCTGCCTCAAAAATACAAGGATCTGATCTTCTGAAGAAAATGTATTTGTTTTAACTCTTCATAACTCCTATGATAGTGATGTCAACAGTGCCTTAGCAGCACGTAAATATTGGCGTTAAGATTCTAAATTATCTCCAGTATTAACTGTGCTGCTGAAGTAAGGTTGACCATATTCTACAGTCATATTTTAATATATATTAATATTACTAATGAACTTTCTGTTTTATTGATAGTATATTTTCAGTGTTATTAATAATCCTGTTATGTTTATAATTCTATAATCTATAAAAATTAGTACTAACTTCTCAGATGTATTATGTATATTAAAATAGTATAATTGCAATTTAATAATTGTGTTGAATGCCATCAAGAGTTTATTGAAAGAGCTTATACATCAAATAAATATTTCTTAATGCACATTTATATTCAGTGTAAATATACAGATTTTTACATATGATTAAACAAATATTCATTTCCCTTTGTTTCTCTAGTAAAATGAAATTACTTGAGAGATACTTATCTCACAGTTAAATGTACATTATAACATATACATTTTGGAAAGAACTTAGACTATTTAATAATGTTTCTAAATATTTCCTTATAAGGAAGGGGAAAAATAATGAAATGTGAATTAAATTCCTGAAATTCTGAGTCTCAAAGTGCACTTAATCATAATTTTCAAGGTAGGAAAAATCTTACAGATGATCAACCTATTCCTGGGATAACTTAGGAAACAACTCAAATTAAGTAAATTAAGTAATTTGCTATTTATGACAGATTAGAATCTTAATCCTATGTCTGACTTTATGTTCTCATATTTTTTCCTGTTATTATTAATTTTTTTTTTTTAATAGCCAAAGATTTTTGTTTAACAAGTCGAAAACGAACATCTTGCCCTGGCCGGTGTTCCCAGTGGAGTGTCGGCCATCTCAACGAGGTTTCAATTCCCAGTCTAGGGCACTTAACCTGGGTTATAGTTGGCTCCTGGCCCTTGGTCAGGACATGCAAGAGGCAACCAGTCAATGTGTCTCTCTCACATTGATGTTTTCTCTCTCCCTCCCTCCCTTCCAGTCTCTCTCTGAAAAAGCAATGAAAAAAAATATCCTCATCTGAGGATTAACAAAAAGACAAACTGTGTGTGTGTGTACACATACATATATACATACGTGTGTGTGTGTATATATGTACATATATATTAAGGCCTTGTTTGCTTTTTTATCCCAAAATTTAACTTCATAGTAACACCAAAAATTAATTTTATAGATGCAAACACAGTAAAACATTTTAATTAAAATTTAAAGCAATATGTTTTCTTTACCTTTTATTTTTTATTTGTTGGAGTTTCATTAAGTCATTAAACTAAAACTTGATGTTCAGGATGAGACAAGTGTGTTTGTGTAGTGTGCCATACTTCTGGTTTTATTTCCTGCCAGGAATATCTTACCCTTTTCTATATAACCAAGCAGGAAATATACAAAATAAAAGAAGTTCTTAATGAATAATTTCCAATTTCAATTGTCAATTTTGGAAGCACTGAAAGTATATTAGATGTAATTTAAGGAATTGTATTCAAGTATCTTTTGTTTAAATTCTAATTTGAAGGTAAATATTATATAAGACATTTTTTAGAACAACCTCACTTTTTTCCAGCAATTTTTTGTCTCAAGGAAGCAATACACCATATTGTTAGAATTAAATGCAAGCTGTCACATTGAAATAATATTGCTTGGTGCTTTCATAAATCATTCATCAAGCTCTTAACCTGTTTCCTTTACTTCATTTCAACCATTTTATGAAAGACTGTACAAATATATGATAGTTTTTGGTTTCACTAAAAATATTCCAGCGTCTAACACATAGATGCTTAGAAATAGTTACTGAATGAATTACATAGTTTGTCTAATATTTTCCAGAACACCCCAGGAGTTAGATTTCTTTTATTGCTTTCTTTATGTTTTTCTAAATGAATTTGAAGTCAAATTTTACGAAATTATATTTAATCTGATCTTCCTTCTAAATGACAGAGGAAACTTGGATTTTACATTTACTAGGTGAATATTTATATATAGGTGCTGCAGGTATGAAGAAGGTCCATTTGGGGCTATTATAGCTAAAAGAAAACTTTCTTGTTTTAATCCGGATAATAGATTTTAAAAAATTTGAAATATTGGGAGAGTAAGACAATATTGCATTGAAATTTATTGTAGCTATGCAGTTTCTTTCCAGCCTTTTATTATAGAAGAGGAAATAGCCTGTCAGTACCTGATGAAACAGGTAATTCAACAGGACTGGAAGCTTTATTTGTAAAAGTTAATATAATTCCATCTTTGTGTAATTTTGAAACAGAACAAATAGTAAAATAAAATGTTAATCTTAATTTGGCTATTTATTTTGCAAGGAAGAAAGAGTTACATATGAGTATATATTTTTTTTCATTTTTCCCATCTTCTTTGGAAAAAAATCCTAATCTTTTTTATTCAGGTTCTTTTTTTAAGTTGATGCCAAATAATTCCAGCTTTGATCATCTTAAATGTTATTTGGAGTATAGATTGAGTTTAGTGATAACTCAGAGTGCTGCAGGCAAGTATCCAGGAGACAAGAAGAGGAATATTCAACAATTCAGTTTGCATCCTATATTCAAATGAAAATCTCTTAAGATTACACATGTTGATATGTGATAGATTTGAAAATTTGGCCATAGACTAACTTTCATGTTTAAGTTGATTTTCTTCATTTATATATTCTTTGGTTACAGAATTATAGATGTTTTAAGCAACTAAGTATTATAACTGATACGAGCCCATCTTAGGTACAATTGGATTAGCAAGACTATACTTTCATAAACTGTGATCTCTAAAGTTATATATATATATATATATATATATATATATATACACATACACACATGTGTATATATATATATATATATATATATATATATACATGTATATATATATATATATGTATGTATGTATTTAGAAGTTGACATTCTAATTCAATTTTTTTTTTCCTTTTGCAGGTGGATATTACTATCCCTTATTTATGGAAAAAGTTTTATTCTAAGTGTTGTTTCTCATTGAGTATTAACTAAAAGGAGAAAAATTAATGTCCTAAACTTTTGAGATAGATTTGGTTCTAGTAAGTGTTTAGATATATTACTTTGTATATCTGGGAGAAGAAATAAGAGACCATCATACATTTCCAGCTTTAAAAAAATCTTATTTTCTTCTATCAAGGAAATTTTACAGTTTAGAATAAAAGTTTCTGTTTAACTTGAGCTCTTTAATGAAGCATTAATTCCTCCACCAGAAATTTAAGAGTCTATGTTCTTACCATGTTTATTTATAAAATATAACTCATGAATTTCTGATGTCTTTTTTTTAGGCTATATGCTATGAAGAAAATGTTGGCAAATAAATAAATTTAAACCTCTTCTGTTAAATTTCCGTGCAAGGTGACAAGTTAGTTGCTGTTTTTTGTCTTAATTATACTGAAATTAAATTCATTCATAATTTCTATTTGGGTCTATTTCTTGATTAACACATGCAACATGAGTAATTAACTTAGATTAGCATATTAATGAGCACAGCTCCCCTTAATTCGGTGGGATTTTGAATAATCTGATAGTTATTTTCATATGATTGGACTTTTATGTTTTGGAAAAAATGTAAACTGCCTGTAGAATCTTGTAATCCTATCTAATAATAGAGAAACATGGTAATTAGCTGTAACTTCGCTATCCTTCCCATTGGCTACTCAGCAAGATATGCAAATTAACTTCCAGCCAAGATGGTGGCTGGCAACCAGGCAATTGAAGCGAACATGAGGCTTGCTTGCTCCAGTGACAGAGGAAGCCAAGGTTCCCCACCTGCCGCCGCCTGGCTCTGAGCTCCTGAAGCAGCAGCTCCAAAAGATACAATGTTTCAATTATAGAAGCTAAAAGATGGTGGTCAATTTGCATATACCAGTTGCGAGGGAAGACTGAGGACAACATGGAGGCCAAGCAGTACTGAAGGGAGCTAAGTAGAGGCCTTGAGGACAGAAACGGAGCCAAGGCTGTGGTGGTGGGAGGCGGAAGGTGGGAGGGCAAGACCAGCCACAGTGGCTGCGAGCCGGAGCGGCAGCGGCTTGGAGGGAAGGGGCAGCGCCTGGGAGTGGGAGGGGAAACCCATCACAGTGCCTGGAAGCGGGAGGGGAAACCCAGCAGGAGTGGCTGGGAGCGGGAGGGGAACCCCAGCCGCAGCGGCTTGGAGTGGGAGCGAAGCCCGCCTCAGTGGGTTTCGCTCCCCTCTCTGCTTGGCTTCAGCCGCTGGAAGCCCTATTTTTGCAGGAATCTTCCTGCAACGGGCCTCTAGTTATTTATATTTATCTTATGCTATAGGGTTAGATTTTTTTTGAGAAATTGTGTTGAAAAAATTTTAAGCCACTTTTATACTAAATGTTCGTCAATTTAGTTAACTTGTTATTAAAGGTACTAGAGACCTGGTGCACAAAAATTTGTGCACTCGGGGGAGGGCGGGGGGGTCCCTCAGCCCAGCCTGTGCCCTCTCGCAGTCTGGGACCCCTTGGGAGATAACGACCTGCTGGCTTAGGCCTGCTCCTGGGTGGCAGAGGGCAGGCCCAATCCCTAGGTGCAGCCCCTGGTCAGGCAGAGCAGGGCTGACTGGGGAGTTGGGGCGCCGCCCCGTCATGCACAGAGCAGGGCGGATCGGAAGGTTGCGATGCCACCCTCAGTCACGCTCAGGTTAGGGCCGATTGGGGGGTTGGGGCACCACCCCCTGTCACATTCAAGGCAGGGTCGATGGGGAGGTTGGGGCACTGCCCCTGTCACGCACAGAGCAGGGCCGATCGGGGTTGGGGAGCTCCCCCCTGTCACGCACAGATCAGGGGGTTGGGGCGCCGCACCCTGTCACACACAGAGCCGCAGGGCGATCAGGGGGTTGGGGAGCTCCCTCCTATCAGGCACAGAGCAGGGTTGATCAGGGGGTTGGGGTGCCTTCCCCTGTCATGAACAGAGCAGGGCGAATAGGGAGGTTGTGGCCCCGCCCCCTGTCACACACAGAGCCCCAGGGCGATCAGGGGGTTTGGGTGCTGCCCTGTCACGCTGATCCCGGTGCCGGGAGGCCTCGCGGCTCCACTGATCCCGGTGCTGGGAGGCATATTACCCTTTTACTATACAGGATAGAGGCCTGGTGCACAGGTGGGGGCCAGCTGGTTTGCCCTGAAGGGTGTCCTGGATCAGGGTGGGGGTCTCCACTGGGGTGCCTGGCCAGCCTGGATGAGGGGATGATGGCTGTTTGCTGCTGGTCACACCCCCTTCAGGGTGGGGGTCCCCCCTGGGGTGCCTGGCCAGTCTGGGGGAGGGGCTGAGGGCTGTTTTCAGGCTGGCGGGTGACTGAAGCTCCCAACCGCTTCTTTTTTTCTTTTTTTTTATTTTATTCTGGGCCAGCTTTAGCTCTGAGGCTTGGCTCCAGCTTTTAGGCCTCAGCTGCTGAAAGCAGGTATCTGGTTTGTTTGGGGTCTATAATCGAAACACTGTTTCAACTCCAGCTCTGAGATCCCAGCTAGCTGAAAGCAGGTTTCTGGGGTTTTGTTTAGCTTCGATATTTGTAACAATGTTTCAAACTGCAAGCTCAGAGGCCGGCAGCGGCAGGCAGGGAACGTTGGAGTCCTCCGTTACTGAAGCAAGCAAGCCTCATGTTCGCTTCAAGCTGCCTGGCTGCTGGCCACCATCTTGGCTGGCAGTTAATTTGCATATCTTGCTGATTAGCCAATGGGAAGGGTAGCGGATGTACAGCTAATTACCATGTTTCTCTTTTATTAGATAGGATTCTATATATCTTTGTTTTATAACTTAACCACTTAGCATGGTTTATTCTACTAAAGAGTATCTTTAGAAAGTGGTAGAAATTTTAAATCACCCCAGAGATTGTTTCCTTCTGTATCTCATTATTTTATAATCTTTGGGAATGCTCTTATATATGGAAGTAACATTTCAAGGATATAAGTTCTTATAGTGCTACTAAAACTTCTTTGTCTGGACTTAATTCATATGATAAATAGTAAACTATAAAGAATTTTTTTTTGTTCCCATGTGAACAGTTTAAAATATAATTTTAGCCTGAAACAATGAAGGTAGAATATTTGTTGTTTGGTAGTATACATCGAGAAAGTTTAAGTACATCACTTCTTAAGAGAATTTGTAAGTTTTAACATAGTGTGTATAGATTTTCATATTTGTATTTTCTGGCAGTGTGAAAATGCTAATGTTGGACAAGGAACATTAAAAATAGATTTGAGCCCTAACTGGTTTGGCTCAGTGGACAGAGCATCGGCCTGTGGACTGAAGGGTCCCAGGTTCGATTCCGGTCAAGGGCATGTACCTTGGTTGCGGGCACATCCCCAGTAGCGGGTGTACAGGAGGCAACTGATCATTGTTTCTCTCTCATCGATGTTTCTAACTCTATCCCTCTCCCTTCCTTTCTGTAAAAAATCAATAAAATATATTTTTTAAAGAACTTAAAAAAAATAGATTTGAAACATTTATATATAGAAAGTAAGGTACAAATTTACTTACGTTATGTAGGTACTGGGGATCAGCACTGAAAAAACAAATTCCAACCTTCATGGAGCTTACAATCTTGGGAGTGAGGTGTGGGTAACAGAGTACACAACATTAATAGGTACCATAGTGGCATGTCAGATGGTGATAAATTCTATGGGGAAAAATAAATCAAGGGCTGTGGGAGGGATGGCATGAAGGTGTTTGGAAAGCAGGAGAGGCATATTTTAAATAGTATGATGAGAAAATGCTTCACAGAGATGACATTTGAACAAAGACATAAACCATAAGGGAGCACACCATTAGGTATCTGGGAGAAGAGGCTTTCAGGTAGATGACATAGCAACTATAAACACATTTCTGGTATAGGAAGGAGGTCTGGAAGGCTATGATCAATTATACAAGAGGGAGAATCGTAGCTCATAAGATCAAAAACTTTATAGGGGGCAGATGTTATGACTGCTTAAGCTTTTAGCTTAATCTACAGATTTAATTTTTCATTCATTTGGTTTCCTCTAAGCCTATTTGATCTTTGTAAATATAACATAATAGTTTTATGAATCAGACTCAAGGTTAATAACCTCCATTTGAGACCATTTAGAGTATAAAAAGTGTTTGGTTGGTTAATAGATATATGTGTGATGATCAGGTTTTTGCAAATTGTGCTTTGATGACTCTGAAATTGTTTTCCACTTGACCAGTTTAGTCAAAGCTAATGGCTCCAAGGAACACACTGAACTTGTTCATGTTTGTCATTTACCCAAACATTGTCTTTGACACCATTCTTAGAATTGCTACCATAGTTAAGTACTTCGTTATTTCTTGCTTATTCTTATTTTGCAGCATTTTAGCTCGGGAATTCTTTGCCTATAATTGTTTCATCATCTGCTACAGATATCCCATTAACTTAACCTTCCTAAAACACTGCTTTGTATTGGATGAAATTCAAATTTTTTAGCTTGTACCTCATGATCTTGCCCCAATATTTTCTAAAGTTTTTCCATATTTCTTCAAGTGAACTAGTCCTGATACATGCATTTTTCTATCTCTTTGCTTTTCAGTAATTTCTGTTTGCTATTTCCTGACTTTAATAGTCTGGCACTAGTCCTCCTCCTGATGATACGAACAATTTATATCCCTAGTTCTTAACCTTATTCTCTGACTTAACACACCTGAGGAACATAACACTTTTATCATTAATTGTACCTCATTTATTCATACATATTAACCTTTAAAATGTATTAGCAATATGAACAAAAATTTTAATTTTAAGAAACAAAATGAAGAAAAAGCAGCTTGACTAAGATATCCAGAACTTCGAAACATCAGCCTAAATATTAGGTCCCAAAGTTCAGATATTAGTTCTATTCTGACAAGTGGTATAGTTGATTATTTTCTGTTATATGAAAAACTATATATCAATCACATAAGAATGTGGAGTAGCCATAATGTATTTTTAGGATTTTAGCACATTAGAATAATTATTTCCCTTTTCTAATATTGTAAAAACAGTTAATAAATATACTCTTAAGAAGTAGTCCATGTGTTTATTATAATGTTTATATTAAAAGATTGGAAGAGTTATTTTAGGTGTCTAACAATTAAAAGCTGATTAAATAACATGTTAAATGGCATACTGTCTGAATAATTCTGGCAAAGAGGTCTCAGGGAAGGCTCTCATTGGCTTGTTTCTAGGATATGTCCATTCCTGAACCAATCACCATGGTCGGGGGGGGGGGTGGAGTATAAATGGAGTACTCTGATTGGCTGGTCTAAATCGCGCCTACCTAGTGGTGGGGATGGTCAGGCCTGCTCAAACCACATGGAATAAGTTCCTGGAAGAGAGGAGAAAACAGGCTGGAGAGCAAAAAATAATATATTGTGATAAGTAGTACTATTCAGACTTACTCAATATAATGTAGTTATATTAATGAGCTAGGAGTTGTTCATGATTAAGTGAAAAAGGTTACCAAATAGTACAAATGAACTAATTAGAAGAATACATTTGCTAAACTTACTGGTTTATTATGGGTGTGAGATCAATCGTATTAGCATGGCAGGGGAGGGGTGTGCTATAAATAAGAATGTATGATTGCGAATGGAGGAAAGTTTGTTTTTTCTTTTTTAAAAAATATATTTTTAATTGATTTCAGAGAGGTAGAGAGAGAGATAGAAACAACAATGATGAGAAAGAGTCTTTGATCGGCTGCCTCTTGTACGCCCCACACTGGGATCAAGCTCCCAACTCTGCCATCTGCCCTGACCGGAAATCAAACTGTGACCTCCTGGTTCATAGGTCAACACTCAACTGCTGAGCCAGGCCAGCTGTGCAGAATGAGAAATCCTTAAAAAAAAAGTAGTTATTTGAAGCAGCCTTACCACCATGGAAATCTGTAATGGAAATCCTACTGGGTTTGGGAACTGTACAAGTGATAATGAAGGATATTATCATGGGAAGAATTTGAACAGATAATTTCAAAAATTAAATCATTTAAAAAATAAGGTCATTTTAAAATAAGCTTTAGGGGAGCAATCTACTCTGTTGTCAAAGGAATGTTAAAAAAGGAATTCTCGAAGCCTTAGCTGGCTTGGCTCAGTGGATAGAGGTTTGGCCTGTAGACTGAAGGGTTCTAGGCTCTATTCTAGTCAAGGGCATGTAACTTAGTTGCAAGCTCTGGCAACCAATCCCTGTGTGTCTCTCACATCAATGTTTCTCTCTCTGTGTCTCTCCTCCCACTCTCTAAAAATCAATGGAAACACATCCTTGGGTGAGGATTAACAACAAAAAGAATTCTTGAATTTGTTGAGAGGTTTTTCTGTCATTTTCCTACTCTTCAAGCCCCAGACCTCAAAAGGTAAGTATAAGAAACGGAGTATATAAATCTATTTTAATTTTGAAACTATATTAACAAACTAAAGGAAAGTCTGACTTTAGTGTATTTAATAGCACAACAAAACTGACTTTCAAGTCTAAAAATTAAGTATTTTTCTGTTTAAAATGAAGTTTGTTTTAGTTTTTCTTAGGGTAAAAGTAATACATGAACATATAGAAATGTCAGAAAGGGCAAAAATTCTATTTAAAAATCACAGTTTTACCACCCAATGGCAACTACTATTTGGCTTTATTCCCTTCTAGTTACATAGTTGGATTAGCAAATTTTTTTTTCTTAACCTGATTCATAAGAGACTAACGGGAGCATCTCCCTCTTGAGATAGGCTCTGGCCCAGAAATTTTTTCTTTACATTTATCTAAAATATACCTGAAAAATACCATGAATTGTAGAATTTGTTCCATAATATTTAAATACATAAAATTTCTCAAGATGTTTTAGTAAACTTGAGCATATGAGATGTTTTATCCTGTGGCTTCCTCTGCCACACTTGCTTATCATCCCCACAGGTACCTTCCCATAGTGTGAGAAGCATTCTGATGCAAGGGAAATCATTGAAGGTTTTTTAAACAGGAGAGTAAGGAAAATACTGACTCAAGATTTGCTCAAAAGGAAATCTAAGATCAGTATGAATTTCTTTTGTACCCCAATCATCACACCAAATTTATCAAAAAGCTGAGCTCTTTGGAAAGGATGGAATTTACATTTGATAATCAAAAAACCTTTAAGAATAGTTATTGACATTTCAGTTTGAACATGTGGCTATGGTTTAAAAAAATGTAAACATGACACAAACATGAATTCAGAGTGTATGACCTATCTGTTACAGTGCCCCATTTAGAATGTAAGCAAAAATGGTATGTCTCAACCTATTTTTCTCACGTGCTAATATTTTATAATTTAAAACTCTTAAGAACTAGGAGTTTAATTTGGAAAGGCAGGTTTAGAATCTGAAAATTGGTCTGGCCAGTGTAGTTCAGTGGTTGGGTGTTGACCCATGAACCAAGAGGTCCCTGCTCAATTCCCTCATTATGGACTCTATCCCCAGTGGGGGGTGTGCAGGAGGCAGCCAATTGATGTCTCTCATTGATGTTTCTATCCTTTTCTCCCTAAAATCAATAAAAGCATATTTTTAGAATATGAAAAATTGGCTAATAAAATAAACTATATTATTTGGGAGTCTAAAAATCTGAGGGCAGTGGTGTTTGTCATCAAAACAGGCCTATGGTACAGATTCCAAGTCAGACCCTGTTATGCCATTTTTGTCAGCATTTTAATGGGTATTGCATCCTTTGGGGGGAAAAAAAGGAAAATATCCAAATAGGGATTATGGACCAAATAAGTCCATAATAGTTATTGTACCATTTTGAATAGGTGATTCTTAGATGAGTTTATGTCTAAAACTCCAGGAATTTGGAACTTTGAAAATGGGTGACTTCTTTTTTCTTCATACTTTTACTCTTCAGGAAGAATTTGGTGATTTTATAATACTTACTAGAGGCCTGACCTGGTGCATGATTTTCATGCATAGGTAGGGTCCCTAAGCCTGGCTGGCGATCAAGTCCAATCTGTGGGGCAATCAGGGGGGCCCCCACTGGCACCTGCCTTGGCTAGCCTGGTGCCACCCACTCACCGGCCCTGCCCCCACCACCGCTGCTGGTTGCCTCCCTCTGGGACGACTGGCGGAGTGATGGGGGGGGGGGCTGCTCACACCCCTGCCATTCAGTCATTTTGCATATTAGGCTTTTATTATATAGGATATACATTAAGAAAATAAATTTCTAAAAAGAAAAAAAGACCTTCACTATAATCTTTCCTGTTTTAAACAATACCAGATGGTCTTAGTTTCTGAATAGCCAAATTAGATAATTTAATTTGGAGTTTAGGTAAAAGTTCAACAGATTTAAAAACTAGCATGGAAATTATTTAATATTGCTATATGCTAATAAATGCATGTTCATTGGAAGACTTAGTGTATATGGCTTATGTTAGGCCCACATGTAGAGTAAATGTGAACTAAGAGGGCATTCAGAGAATTGAAAAAATGAGGTGTTCAGATATATTAAGGAGTGATTGAAAAAGAAAAGACAAATTTTGAGACTTCTTTATTCTGTATTGTACTGGATGACAGAACAGTAGATCGAGTTTCAGTATTTTATACCAACTGGATATATGCATTAGACTGATATACCAGGAATCTTTAAAGTAACTAAATAAGAGGGGAGGGGGAGTAAGATTTAAAGACATTTGAAATGAAAATACATCAGCTGAACAAATTCTTGCCTTTAAAATGTGTGCTAACAAAGGACAATTTTTTTTTTCCAGGAAGTGGGGGAGGGGAGAAAGAGAGAGAAACATCAGTGATGAAGGGAATTATCAATTGGCTGCCTCCTGCATGCCCTCTATTGGGGATCAAACCCGCATACTGGGCATGTAACCTGACCAGGAATTGAACCCTGACCTCCTGAATCATAGGTGGATGCTCAACCACTGAGCCATGCCCGGCTGGGCCAAAGGGTGATTTTTTACTAAAGGAAATTATAGGGAAACTTCCTGTTTTGTTTTGTTTTGTTTTGTTTTAGGACAGTATTTACTGAAAATAACCATTGTTTTAACAGAACTGACAGTATCTACAAAAGGTATTCTTAAGAAATTCCAGGAGCATGTACCACTTGTCTGGAAACTATGAAATAATGAAAATGTTAACATTTTCATTAAGTACTAGAGTTGGAACATTTTTTTAATATTAAAGGCTTTTATAAGTTGTCATTTGTTTTCAAGGAGGGTTACTTTTATTTTAGAGAGAGAAACCAATTTGTTGTTCCACATATTTATGCATTCATTGTTTGATTCTTGTATGTGCCCTGACTGGGAATAAAACCCACAACCTTGGTGTATTGGGACAATGCTCTAAACAGCTGAGTTACCCAGACAGGGCCCAAGAGGGTACCTTTTAAAGGCTTTTGGACAAATCCAGTATAGAACTAATCATATGTTTTCATTTTCCTTGTAAGACTTCCAAGAAGAATAAGTTTGAATAATTTGAATAAACAGGAAGGAATCGATTCTACAGAAAAATTTTAACCATACTGTTTTGATTCGAGGAGATGGGTTATAATGGGGTATTATTTGATGTTTGTATTTTAGGATGTATGGATATTAAGACTGAAAAGTCATAGCTGGGGCTTTATACCTCTCTCTGAATTCTCCTCCTGTAGTTAAATATAAGGGAATTCAGTTTCAATTGGAGCTTTTCTCATCTTACTAGGCACATACTAGGTGCTCAGCTAATTATTAAGTGGGGTATTCCCAGGAACATCAATCTCACTCTGAAATTGGCAGTGGATCTAGTTGATTCTGGCATCAAATATGCAGTAAATAGTCATTCTATATATCATTACCAGTCATGAACCCAAATCATTGTTGAGACTTGATTAGACAATGCTATGGCTTGGCTGAAAAGATAATTTTTATGAAAACACCTTTTTAATGCAGGCTTTTTAGTTTTTACAGTTCAAGTACTTTTCAGACTACTGTGCTTCTCTTCCAAATTATATGAGATTTTTGATATGAGAGAATTGTAAATATAATAATGAACATCAACCCTGGCACATGTATTAATGTTTATTTGCCCCTCTGGGAAATAGGCCAGTAAGTTGTTATTGTTTATTTTAAGTGCTTAATTTAGTGAAAAGTACCCAAATCAATCAAATCAAAACAGCTTAACACCATAGGGTTGTTGATTTTTTTTAAGTGCATATAGAAACCACTCAAGCTTTAGATGCTGCTATAAATGATAGGAGTAACAACTAACACATTGATTGTGTAATCCTTTGCCAGAAATTTTAATAACCCATTTAATTCTCATAACCATGTTATGAAGAAGGTACATTATTATCCTTATGTAATAGGTAAGGAAACTGAATCAAGGGGAAATAGTATGCTTAATGTCATAACTAGTAAGTGGAGTCAGGATTCAAGCTCAGGTGGTTTGATTGCAGAGCTCATGCTCAGTAATATCTATATCCTTTGTCTTATAGCCAACAAGAGATGGGGGGGGGGGGACAAAATTAACATATTAAGCCATAGAATGCAAAATGATAGTGATAGCTTCCAAAGAATGTCTTACATATAGGTTTGTATTTGGTAGTTCTATACCAAGCCCAAGTTATTTCCTCAAATATTCCAGGATGCTACTTCTGTTCCCTGCAAGAAAACATGCTTTTAGAAGTGTGTTTCAGTAACACTGGATATGGGTGTTTGTGTATGGTCCTCCTGTAGGTATGTGTGCCCCATAGCTATACATGCTGATATGTGAATTCAGTCAGCTCTTAATTTAATAGTCATCTCCTGAGAAAACTGCCCCTGCCCAACTATCCATAGTAAGCCTACACAATCTATAGGTCGTACTTGATTGTATTGTTTTTAAGGCATTTACAGCATCAAATGTTGTCATCTCGCTTAAGCACACTGTCTCTCAGGAAGCTCATCAAAATCTAAGAAAATGGACCTTTTGTAACTAAAAGGCTGCAGACAAACTACATAATACATCTAAATTATAAACATTTTGGAGATTACCTATCTCTAAGCTATGAGATACACTTTAAAAATATTTTCTGTCAATGGGACTTCAGGCTTAATGATCATTAATTTAATTCTGTCTCATAGAGCAGTTCCAGGCAGTATAACCTTCATAAACATTCTCAGGTATTACTCAGAAGGGCAACCTCCTCCTACTCCCTCCATATACACACATAGAAAATTAACTCCCTTTTCTGTATTATCACCCTTATAATAGCTTTATTATTACTTATGATACATCATATTGTGATTATTTTCTTCCTTATTTGTTGTACTATTAGGCAATAAGCCTAATAGGTTTGAGCCCAGAGACTATCTTAACTCAGCTCATTTGATGACTAATGTAGCTGATGACCTCACATAGCACTCAGTAATATAGAATA